GGTGGAGTCGTAATGGTTTAAGGCTTCGAAGGCTTGATAGCATCGAGTGGCAAGTCACCATGAAGAAAAACTCGTATCAAATTAAGTAACACTGATTTAAACCACGTAATGCAATTAAATATGAACACAATCGTGAGACAATCGTTATGAACACAATCATAAGACAATCGTTCTGAACAAAATCATAAGACAATCGTTATGAAGACAATAATAAGACAATCGTTATAAACACAATCATTATGAGTACAATCCTCATGAGCACAATCGCAAGCTAACACTTATGAACACAATCGTATGAAAATCACTATAATCACAATCATTATAAGCACAATCGCATGATAATCGCTATGAACACGATCGCATGACAATCCTCATGAGCACAATCACTATAAGCACAATCGCAAGCTAACAGTTATGGACACAATCGCAAGACAATGAACACGATCGCATAACAATCCATATGAGCATAATCCTTATACGCACAATCCTCTTGATCACAATCACTATAAGCACCATCGTAATATAAACAATCATCATGATCATAATCATAAGACAATCCTCGTGATTACAATCACATGAAAATCCTCGTGATCACAATCACTATAAGCACAATCGCAGTATAATATCTAAGATAGGCAGCACCTGGGGCCAGACGTCAGTTTGGGCGGGCGACGTGGCGCCCTTGTCGACATCAGCGCCCGTCCAGAGGGCGCCCGTGCGCTCCACCAGCCACTGCAGGTCAGCGCCGGCGCCCCCGCTGCTGCCCGCGCCCCCTGCGCAGGTCGCCGCCCTCTCACACGCGCCCACCTGGGCACTCACGCCCTCCACCACCGCCCCGCAGTGTCTGGACAGGGAAATTTGCTATATATTTACTTTATTCTTACTATATTTATATTATTTAATATGACGCCAAACTTTACATTATTAAAAACGCCTACATTTATATTATTCTTATTATATTTACATTATTGAACATGACGCATAGGTACCCTTAACATGATTTAAAGATGCCTACATGTACATTATTCTTACATTATATATTTAAATTATTCTATTTACATTATACATATAATACATTATTCTTTGGGCAGTGCCTGTGCAGCACTAGACACACCATGTGCACCCACCTGTCAAGACAGTCCAGCTGCACTAGACACACCACCCACCTGTCAAGACAGTCCAGCAGCACTAGACACACCACCCACCTGTCAAGACAGTCCAGCAGGGAGGTGTGCTGGTGTGCAGGCCCCACCAGGGCGGCGGCGAGCAGCTTGAGCTCCTTCAGCAGCAGGGCCGCCAGCCGCCGTGGGGCGGAGCGGCAGGAGCAGAGCACCACGAGGGACACGGCCTCCCCCAGACACACCACCTCCAGGTCGTCCCCGCGCTGCTGGGGGTGTCGCAGCACTAGTTCAACTAGGTGTTAACACTACTAGTTAACACTAGGTGTGGCAGTACTAGTCAACACTACCTAGGTGTGGCAGTACTAGTTAACACTAATGTTCCGCCAGACAAACACTAGTCTTCTCGCTCCACATTAGGATCAGTTCAGGCATCAATGAATCATTGTTACATGACACTAGGAAGTCAAGTATAAATATAACAAATTTACTCCTAGTAAATCCAGAAAATAAGAATATATTTTTCTTTTTATTGACAGTGTTTCATATTAAAAAGTATTACGGATTTTACGGATTTCAAAGAGGAATTATATCGTCTCGAACATAAACAAACGGAGAAAAGCTAAAAAATTTCAAGTGTAGCACCTGACTGAGCTGCAGGCACTGCAGGTGCTGCAGTTGGGGCGGCGTGCCTCTGTTAACACCACCAGCAGCAGCAGCAGTAGTAGAGGTAGAAGTAGAAGTAGAAGTAGCAGAGAGTGCAGAGCGCCAGGCCATGTAGAGTTGCAGCAACATGCGCAGTGACGCGTCTACGAGCTGAGGGAACGCGTCGCCCACCTCGCGACTCATGAACTGGATGAACCCTGTCGTGAATGAACAGGATATTTATATCATGCATGTACGGTGTGAGATCATTTGGTGATTCTTTGTCAGACCACATAACTTATTTATAATCATACAAGTTATTTATACTAATACATGAGAACATATAACTCATTCAAATTACCCTTACGCAAGCCCACACAACAAAACCTTTAGTGTGTGCATCAACCCTACACCCTAGCAGGCAAGCCATCCTTTTGACCAATTTCCGGGGGACCTGTCCGTAGCTACAGCACATCTACCTACCCACCCGCCAACTCATAGCACTACTCATTCCTTCCTCCGCCACTCACCATATTTATAATCATACAAGTTATTTATACTAATACATGAGAACATATAACTCATTCAAATTACCCTTACGCAAGCCCACACAACAAAACCTTTAGTGTGTGCATCAACCCTACACCCTAGCAGGCAAGCCATCCTTTTGACCAATTTCCGGGGGACCTGTCCGTAGCTACAGCACATCTACCTACCCACCCGCCAACTCATAGCACTACTCATTCCTTCCTCCGCCACTCACCATGTATGACCTCATGCCGCCACTCACCATGTATGACCTCCCGCCACTCAGGGAAGTCGATGACGAGTGCCTGGAGGCTCTGGAGCGCCACTCACCATGTATGACCTCATGCCGCCACTCAGGGAAGTCGATGACGAGTGCCTGGAGGCTCTGGAGCGCCACTCACCATGTATGACCTCATGCCGCCACTCAGGGAAGTCGATGACGAGTGCCTGGAGGCTCTGGAGCGCCACTCACCATGTATGACCTCATGCCGCCACTCAGGGAAGNTGCACAGCCAATCAGCTCATCAGGCTCCTGCACAGCCAATCAGTTCATCAGGCTCCTGTACAGCCAATCAGTTCATCAGGCTCCTGTACAGCCAATCAGTTCATCAGGCTCCTGTACAGCCAATCAGTTCATCAGGCTCCTGCACAGCCAATCAGCTCATCAGGCTCCTGCACAGCCAATCAGCTCATCAGGCTCCTGCACAGCCAATCAGTTCATCAGGCTCCTGTACAGCCAATCAGTTCATCAGGCTCCTGCACAGTATTGGCACAATAGTTCAAGCGAAACATTCTCGATAAAAAAAATTAGATCAGTACTCACTGTAGTGCGTGACAGAGAGCGCATTTTCTCATCCGTCCGCGACATGAAGTCACGGACGGATGGACATGACAAACACGCAATAGCGCCTTTTTTCCATAAATGAGAAAATGCGATAAAAAGAATTATACCGGCCAATAAATATGAAATTTTTTATCGAAATTTTTCACTCAAGTGATAACATGTAATGAAATAAATGCAATAAAAAGTAGAGCATACGGGTTACAAATATGACATTTCTCTCTTGAAAATTTTCACTCAAGTGATAACATGTAATGAAATAAANTTCACTCAAGTGATAACATGGAATGAAATAAATGCAATAAAAAGTAGAGCATACGGGTTACAAATATGACATTTCTCTCTTGAAAATTTTCACTCAAGTGATAACATGTAATGAAATAAATGTAAATAAAACAAGAGAGTTCACCTTGTTGACGTTGTGCGCGTTGGTCATGATGAGAGGCTTGCCGAACTGCGCGTCGAGCGCCCTGAGCATGTCGTTGAAGGTCTTGCGCACGAGCGGGTAATACGAGGCTAGACCGATGTTACGCGCCGTGTCTTCTGTTAACATCTGGACATGTCCTTAATTAGTAGACCAGTTATAGTGTAGCATATACTAGTTATAATAGAGATAGTAGTTATGATATATAGGATATAGTAGTTATAATACAAGATATAGTACTAATAATATAGAATACCTATAGTAGTTATAACATAGATGTAGTACGAATAGATTTTTTCTAGAGGAGTGAGTACGATGAACATCGTTCACTAATATTCATTATTCGATTGATGCGATCATTTATTCTCATACTCATATGCATTTTTGTTCATTCTGGCGAAATTATTCTATTACGTCTGGCGAAGCCGCGCCAGTGACATGCGAGTCAGACCTATAGCAGTTGGAACTGTCTAGTACTAGGTCAGGTCTGAGCGTCTGTGCGTCAGGTAGTTAGTTGTGTCCCGCCAGCCCTATAGTGAGGTTCATACCTGAGCCCGCTAAGCTCTGTTAACTCTCAGCATTCTGTGCTTAACGCTGGAGCTGTGGCGGTGCCGTGAAGATTTAGTGAGCTGCTCCTTTATCATGAACCTAATGTTATTCTAGTTTAACTTTTAACCGTGCCTGTTTTTAAAGTGTGCTTTGCTGAAATAAAACTACGTTTTATCCGTGTTACCAAAGTTTTAATGGACATCCCAGTGCACTTGAACTTTTTACAAGACAGTTGCCGGCGTTTGGCCGTAATTAAGAGCTCTGATCATTCTGACAAGTTTAAGGGTTGCGGCAGGCGTCCGGTGACAGGAGTAAAGCATCACTAGACCGGCGCTAGAGGAGTATAATAAAACTAGACCAATGTTTGCCAACGCAATAAGTTCAAAGTAACCGAGAATGTAGTGTGTTCTAAGGCGAAGACGTTTTGGACACGAAACATTGAGTTGTAGGCACAAAGCGGCTTCCAAAGCAATTCATATTTCAGTGGGAAAAAGGAAAAGGTGAAATTTCCAGATGTGCGAACACCACAAACGAAATTGTTATTCACCTCGAGCGTCAAGTACTTATTGAAGCAACACTCATTTTTGAGAGCAAAGTGCCAATTATTTTAAACTTTTAAACAAGACGCACCTTGGAGAGGAAAGTTTTCTTAACCCTGAGCGTGTTGCCGGAGGGCAGGACGGCGAGGGTACGGGGCATAGGAGGGTCGCCCTCCTTCTGCTGCAGGCTGTCCGCCACCACCAGGAAGGCCCGCAGGCCGATGGCCATGCGTTCAGGAGACAGGATCACTTTGATGGGCCGCCCCACGCTCAGCAGGTCGAACACAATGTCGCGCATCGCGAAGTCCAGACGCTCCTGTTGGCATATTTATTATGAATGTTATGTCCAGACGCTCCTGTTGGCATATTAATGTTATGTTCTGCTGCTCCTGTTGACATATTAATGTTATGTCCTGCTGCTCCTGTTCAAGATAAATGTTTATACCAGCCACTCCTGTTGAAACATTGATGCGATTTTCAGCCGTTCTTGATAGTTTTAATGTTATGTTAGGCATTTGAAGGCCGATCTCTACAAAAACTTGGGCGGTATACAAGATAAATAAAATACAATAAACAAATAACAGACCAATATAAAAATGATTAAGAGCGCAATAAGCCCTCAAGAAGGAGGTTGCAATTAAAAATAGCATTTCAACGTCCAAAAAAATACAGGACACTTGACCAAAACTGATTCAACCGCAATGTAATTCTTTAATTCAACGCTTCGCAGAAGTTGTCAAGAAAACTCATAAGGAACTTACCACTCTTTAAAATATCTTTACAAAGAAAAAATTGTAACCGAACATCACGTGTGTCTCCGTAGATGTTTAAATAAAAGATGCTGCAAATCGAAACCAGAAATTGAAACGCAACGGGACACTAAAAATTTTTACCTTTAATTTGAACCTAAGTAATTAAACATGAATAAGTCAAGCTTGAATTGCACCTCAGATTGTCACTGAGGACTCAGATTGTCGCAGGTGACGTGAGGACACGTCACCTGCGCGATGAACTATCAGATTAAAATATCCCGTGACCTGCGCGATGAACTACATTAAAATATCTGTTGACCTGCGCGATGAACTGTATGATCTTGACGAAGAT